AATGAGTAGGAGTTGGATGACTCTGGCATTTTGTCAGTTGTGGTAATAACTCTGCTTGTGGAAGGTTCTGGATCATCTGGATTATTCCTGGGAGTGGAGACAGCATTTCTAGTCAGAAAATCAGTGAGAGTTGTCTCTATGGTCCTTTCCTTTTTTTCTTCATATATTTCGCGGTAATAACTCCACGCTTCCAAATCTGCCTATCTGTTTTAGCAAAGCCATCAGCATTTGGGGATCCATGTTTTCAAGCAACTGAAGCCCCGATTTAGTTTAAAAATCTATATCTATACTGCAGTGTTTTGAATAGTAAATCATAAAATTGAACATCTGCGAGTGAACATCTGAGAATGATAACATCAGTAAAGTATGCGCTGCAACACTGCATGTAGTACGTATTACTAACGATAAGTTGTACAAGAAAAAACGGACAGTCATAAGTGTGGTTTGTCGTATCTCAAATACATCATGAGTCGGGGACTACCTGTACTGTCAACTCTCTTACTTCTCGTTTAGTTTGTCCCTCTCTACTTGGCAAACCAGTAATTCCAGTTGATTCAATTCTTGATCTACCGCGTGCTTTCAGGTAGCCAGCTGAACCTGTCTAGAGAAGCACAGTCACACAGGTCGGAGTCTCTAAATTCGTGCCATAAATTCCAAGTGGACTGTTCATGCTGCCAGGCACTCACATTACACTTCCCCACCCATTCATTCTTCCTCTCTTTTGGAGGAGTTTTTCACTCCTTCCCTTGTCTCCTCAAATTGACAATACCTTCTCCACCTTCTGTACTCACACACAATGCATGCAATCAAAAGAGAGAGAGACGGAACTGCCGGAGCCTCTTACCACCTCCACCACCTCTGAATGCACAAACTCTGTCATTTCATCTATTCCCACACATAAGCTTTCTGTGTGCCTACTATAGCCAGGAGTCCTGGTGGCGCAGTGGTTAAGAGCTCAGCTGTTAACCAAAAGGTCAGCAGTTCAAATCCATCAGCTGCTCCTTACAAACCCTATGGGGAAGTTCTACTCTGTCCTATAGGCTTGCTGTGAGTCAAAATCAACTTGACAGCAACACATCGTTGTTGTTTTTTCTAATTAATTAATTTATTTATTATAGCCAGGGGGGCAGTGGAGGTTCAGTGGTAAAATTCTCCCCCTCCATGCAGGAGACCCACGTTTGGTTCCAGGCCAAGGCATCTCAAGAGCAGCCACCACCCCTTCTGTCAGTGGAGGCTTGCATGTTGCTACGATGCTGAAGAGCTTTCAGAAGAGCTTCCAGACAAAGACAGACTAGGAAGAAAGGCCTGGTGATCAACTTCTGAAAAATCAGTGAATGAAAACCCTATGGATCACAACAGTCTGGTCCACTGGTGCATGGGTTCACCATGAGTCAGGAACCGACTCTGGCAGCTACAACAACACTACAGCCAAAAACTCCATTTGGACACAAACCCCACCTCTCTCACCGACTCAGAATATTATTACAGCAACCCTCTCTCCTACGTTATCATTCTCATAGGCATACACGTATACCAAAGTGCTTCCAACTTAAAATGAATTCTCTTTACCTGATTAACCCCACCAGTAACCACCTCATATTCTGCTCCCTTTTGTAGCAAAGCTTCTCAAAAGTTATCGATAATCTTTGCCTGCAAGTCCTCCCTTCGATTCTCTGTTAAACCCATTCCAGTTAGGCTTTTGTCTTCACAGTCACCAAACCAAAACTCTTCTTCTCAAAGGCACCAATGACTCACGTAGCACCAAATCCAAGAGTCAGTTCTCAGTCTTTATCTCACCTGGCCTATCTGCAGCATTCGACCCAGCTGATCACTCCTTCCTTTTTGAAATAATTTCATGAGGCTTCCAAGATGCCATGCTTCTGGTTTTCCTCCTACCTTTCTGGTTGTTCCTTCTAAGCCTCCTTTGCTGGCTCTTCTTCTCTTGTTCCTCTTAATGCTAGACTGTCCCAGGACCCAGTCCTTAAAACTCTTCTCTATACTTTATTGCAGATCTCATCTGATCTTACTCCTTTAAATACCAACCATATGCTAAAGACTCCCACTGTATCTCCAGCCCAGGTGACCTTCTTAAACTATCAGACTTGAATAGAGCTGCCCACTCAGCACCTCCTTTTGGACGTCTCATAATCGCAACATTTTCAAAACTGAACTTCTAATCTCCCTGCACCCAAACCTTCTACATCTGCAGTTCTCCCCATCACAGCTGGTGATCACTCCATCCAGTTACTCAGGCTAAAATCCTTGGCATCATTATAGACTTTTCCCCTTTTCATATACCCCACAAACACTGTCAGGATATCTTGGGGGCTCGATGGCAGCTACATCTATATACAAACTGAAAATATATACAAAATGTGACCACTTTTCTCTACTTCCACTGTCACTGGTGGAGCAAGCCACCATTATCCCTTACCTGGATTACTGCCATGGATTACTCTAATGCCTCTGAAATTGTCTCCCGGGTTCTTCCCTTCTCGTCCACTCGCTATAGTCTACTCTCAACACAGAGGTCAAAAGAAGGCTATTGGAACGGAATGGAATGGAGATCACATCTTTCCTCTGCTTAAAACCCTGCACTGATTTCCCATAATAAAAGCCAGAGTTCTCCCAATAGGCTGTAAGTCCAGACATGGTCTGGTTCCTGTTGCCTTGCACCTCCCCGCTTGCTCCATGCTCTGTGCTGCCTCCCTTTCAGCCTCCTTGGTATTCCTCAAACACGTCAAGCATGCTTCGGACCTTTGCACCACTGTTCCTTCTCACTAGGATTCTCTCGCTCCAGATAGCAAATGGCTAGCTACCACATCTCCTTAAACTCTACGTTCAAATGTCACTTTTGTAATGAGACTTCCCTGACTACTCTGCTCTCATCCCTCTTAATTTGCTCTAGTCTTCTCCCCATAATATTTATGGCTTCTAGCGTAACCTATAATTTACCTCTTCATACTCTGGTGGTATTGCCTGTCGCTCTGTGCACATCCCCACCCTCATTCTCCATGTGCACTCCCACTGGAGTGTAATCTCCGCGAAGGCGGGGATTTTTGTCTATTTTTTCAGTGTGTGTTCTGAGTGCTTAGAACAGCTGGGTTGTTCTGAATGAATCAATGACTCAATCAATAACATCCTGAATATATCACTTTGACCTTCTGAACCTGTTTCTTGTCTAAAAAATGAAGCTAGCAATATCTGCCTCACAAGGTTGTCGTATAGCAATAAATGATGAACCATGAGGAAACTGTTGTAAAGTGTAAGTGATTATAACAGCATAATATAATGTGTTAAGGACTATCTTTGAAAGCCATTCAGGGGATGCTTACTAGGTAATTGCCTATCTGGTACAGTTTAAGAAGTAAAGAAAAATCCATCCAGGCATATAGTCTTTCGCAGCAATGGCCTGAGAGTCCACAGAAGAGATAAATGAGGGTTTTCAAACCTTCACTTTCCAAACTCAAAGTTACCTCTGAGATATCCTGAGATGAGGAGAGGAACTGCCTTCCTGCTTAATCCTGGTATGCTTATGCACATTCAGCTGGCTCTTCCCCTCATGACTGGCTGCCCACAGGAAGAAGTGGAAAGAGGTGTCGCCAGAACTGGGAGAACAGGGAGTGTTTCAGACTCAGCAGGAAGCCAGATACCTGGGAAATAAGAAAAGGACATAGGAGGTTAAAGAACAGGGAGGAGGAGAACACCAAAGTCCATTACACTTGCTTAGAATCATCCCCAGCACTGGTCTTTCATATCTTCAAGCCAGTGAGAGAAGTCATTGCTAGCAGTATTAGAAATCTCATCAGGTTAAACATTTGGAAAGTGTCATAGCCCACTCGGGAGAAAACTGAGGTTTAGTACGTAAAACACTGAATTCCACCAAAAAGTTAGCAGAAAAATCCATCAACCGGACACTTTCCAGATAACAGATTGTTCCTGGATCTTCCATTTTGTTCCCTCCTTTCCCATTCACAGCCATTCACCTCTGTCCCACTGGGACTCCTGTGGGGAGAGGCTTAGAGCCACAGAAAAGCTTAAAAGTAAGGCAAGAAAATGTTAATTGTAATCCCCAGTGCAACAACTAAGAAAATAATTCAAAAACATAAAATAAACAGCAATGGAATTAAAACGGTATACCAGAAAATATCTATTTAACACAAAAGAAGTCAACATGGAAGAATAAAAGATCAAAAAAGCAACGAGACACACAGGAAACAAATAGCAAAATGACAAATATAAATTCGACCTTATCAGTCATTACATTAAACTGTCAAAACAATCCAATCAAAAGGTAGAGATTGGTAGAATGGATGAAAACTGTATGTTATTACAAGAGTCACATGTTAGATTCAAAGCTACAAATAGCTGGAAAGTAAAAAGATGAAAAAATAATATACCATGCAAAGACCCTCCGAAAAAGAGTTGAAGTGGTTATCCCA